CTGAATGGCTTTTTTTTTTTCTTGCCTAATTGTCCTGGCTATAACCGCCAGTACAAATGTTAGATAGAAGTGATGAGAGTGGACATCTTTGTCTTGTTTCTGATCTTAAGGGAAAGTATCTAATCTTTCACTAGTAGATATAATGGAAGTTGTAGATTTATACTGCTATCCTAAACCCTGATCTTTTTTTGCATAAGATTTTATATCAGTACCTATGTAACATACTTCATTCTTTGTAAATGTTCCATAATATTTGATTGTATGGATATGTCAGGTTTTTTGAGTCAGCCTCCTGATATATAGATGGCCTTTCTCTTACCAGTTATGCTGTAATGTATAATCTTGCTACATGTTATTTTGTATACGCACACACACACACACACACACACCCTCACTTTAGGTTAGATCTGAGAAGAATCACTGTAATTTTGGTAGATCAATTTGCTTGCCAGTGTATGTTCCCACTAGAAAAAATATGTCAGAGTGCCTGTCTTTTCCCACATTCTCACTAACATGATGTGTTATCAGAATTTTTATCCTTGCCAATCTGATAAAGAGAAAAGGTATTTCATAAAGTTTTAGTTTGCACTTCTCTTATTAGTGAAGTTGTGTGGCTTTTCATGTTTAAGACATACTTGTTACACAGTAGGGTGACTATTGCAAATAACAATGTAATAAATAGTTCAAGATAGCTAGAAGAGAAGATTTTGAATGTTGTCACTCCAAAGAAATAAATATTTCAAATAATGGATATGGTAATTACCCCACTTGATTATTATACTATGTATATTCATGCATTGAAATATCACATTGTACACCATAAATATGTACAATACTATGTGTTAATTAGAAATATAAAATTAAATTTTTTAAGACAGGTTCTTGAATTTTTCTGTCAATTTTGTGTTCAAACTTTTCACCCAGTTCTCTGGAGTTGTCGATCTTTTTCTTACTGATTTGTAGAAGTCCTTTATAAGTAGGGAAATTAGGTTTCTGTCTTGAACATGAATTGTGTTTTGACCCTAGTTTTTCATTTGTATTTTGACTTTGTTGATTTTTGATGAAAAATTTAAAATGTTCATGGAGTTAATTTTATTGGGCCTTTTTTGAAATAATGTGTATAGCTTTCAGATTTTTTATTATACTTAGAAATATCTTTCCTTCTCAAAGGTTATAAAAAGATTATTTGGTATTTCCTCTGAATACTATTAAAGCCAAGCATTTTTTTTCTTTTAAAAATTTAACATATTCCCTTTTCTAGTTTTTTGATATCTGTGTGGCTCTCCCTACAGATACAAGAGTAGCTCAGCGGTGTTATTTACAAGTTTCCTGACTATCTTGACATGTAACTCATCTAATCCTGGAACTTACATTTTGGTTAACTAGGAAATTTCTGATATATTCCTTACTCAGTAGAGAATTTCATTCTGATTTACTTATATTTACTCTTCTTTTTTTTTTTTTTTTTTTTTTTTTTTTTTCAGAGCAAAGCTTATTCTTTTTCATATAATGTATGCAGAAGCAAAATAGAAAATAAGTTCTCCATTCTCTGTCTCATTTCTACTTTCTTTTCAAAAATTCTTTTTTATTTTTGAGTATTTGAGAACATGTGTTCATCTTCCATGTTTTAGCTCTCTAAAAGAAGAGGGTGACTCTTGATCACAGCCAGACTTATTTCCAATTTACTTAGCTTTTTCAAGAAATATTTAGTAAGTAATGACTACATACTTAGCCCTTTTCTAAAAAGATAATAGCAAAATTTATGATAATGCCCTTATGTTTTAGAAAGACCAGGTTTCTCCACATAATATGATTATTATTAGAGAATAATATTTGTCACTTTAGATATAGCCCATAACTTCTCTTTGCAAACATGGTTGGATTGTGTTTGAGTGAAATACCTAGAAGTTCTGAAAGAACATTTTCTTCTCTGAAGTTCATTTTTCAAAGGTGTAGTGGTTAATAAAATTCTCAGAATTGGATCTATAAGAAGGCTAGGCCATATTTGTACCAGCTGCAAATATTCAATGTCAGTCATAGAATGTTCTTCCAGCCACTTGTGGCAAGTAAAATAGATTTTTACTGAGCTATGCTAGTGTTCCAGTAATGCTCTTTAAAAAAAAAAAAAAGGAAACGATTTATTTAAATAGCTTATGGCCCACTTGCTCCTCTGGTTTCTCTCTCTCTCTCTCTCTCTCTCTCTCTCTCTCTCTGTGTGTGTGTGTGTGTGTGTGTGTGTGTTTCTTTGTCTTTTTTAGTTTGATAAATTCAAGTTGGTACTTGGCTCTTGAAAGCTAATTAAAAAAATTCTGACCTTAAAGTGAATTAGAGGTTTCAAGTTTTTGACAGTATCTCATAGCTTAAAAAGCTGTATATTAATAAACGTGGATCAGCATTTGCTTTCTTAGAAAAAGTGAAATTGATCCTTGTTGAACCCAAGTATGTTGCCTTTCCATGTTAATATATTTATAGCTGCAGTTTGTAAAAAAAAAAAAAAACAAACCTTTTTTTCCTCCCTCCAATTTCTGTATTTTTTAGTGAGATTCTCTTTTTTCCATAGAACCAGACTGTGAGGCTGATATGACAAAATCTTCAGATATTTTGGGGTTCTTTTTCTAACATGATTCTGCCCTCTCACATGACTCCCCCCAACTCCCTTTCTCTTTGTTGCCCTTAGTCTTTCCACATTCCTACTTTTCCTCACCCAGTTTGGGAGCATTAGGTTAATACACATACTAAGGAATGGAGATATTATTAGAGTTTTCAAGTTGATCGTTTCTGTTCCTTTACTTGTCCCAAAGTCCTGAATTAAACCGAGGACTGCCGATGTCTAAAGTACTGATGCTGATCATATAACATTTTCCTGAAGAAATAAATGGTCTTCTTACCTCTTGGAGCAAAGGAGTGAAAGTCTTAAGGTGGTATTCTGAACCACAGAAGTATAAAATAACTATGAGGATAGATATGGTGTAACAGAATTAACACATCTAGACTGGAAGAGACATGCTAATAAGCAACAACTAAATTAAGATGTATGTCATACATTTAAGTGAATGAGACTAATGCATCATTTATTGGATTGAATAATTAACTGCAAGTTAATGTTAGAGTGGCTCTCTCTATAAAGATGAAGTAAAATAAGCTTTAGTACATAGGAGTTCAAGTCTTGGTATTAGTACCTGACTCTGCTGTTCGTTCACCAGTAATGTGAACTCAAGCAAATCACTTCACCTTTTTTTTTTTTTGCATCATTTTCTCCATCTATAGCGTGAGTATAATACACTTACCTTTCCTGGATACACACACATGCACACACACTACTTGAACATAGTATCCAACACAAAAAAAAAGCCATTTGATAGATGCTAAGCTGCTTTCCTTCCTTTTTTTTTTTTTTTTTTTTTTTCCTTTGAAGCTTTCTTCTTATACTAACATAAGAGTATTGGAGTATCACAAGGTTAAAGGTGCTAAATCAGGTAGTGGTTGTTTATGCCAGCAAATATTTCTGTCGGAACAATTGGCAATAATAGCTTATTTCATAAGAGTTAACTAATTTTGTAGATTATTTTCTGTTGTTTTTTCCTAGTTGTGATAATCTTTTCATGATAAATATTGAGTATCTTTGTCTTCCCATCCTTAGCTGGCTTATATGTTCAGAAGATTACAGATTTACCCATTTTCATTTCTTGTGGCATTTTCTAGTCTATTTTTTTAAATCTAAATCTCATAAAACTTTTTCCTCTATTTAAATTACATTTGGCCTTTTGATATTTTTCTTTTTGTTTAGTAAGAGTTTTTTCTTCTTTCTCAGTATTTCATATGACTTTTAGAATTTCTTCTTTTAAGGTCTTTAAAATCTTGCTTAATATATAGCGCTCCTTTCCACTTAAGAACTTATTTTTCTCTTACAAATTACCTAGAAAAATAGATTTAAACAAGAAAAATTGTCTTTTAAAAATTAGAATGTTTTATTTGGACTCTGAAGGGTCCACTCCAAATGGTAGAAATAACATCTAAACTATTATAGTTTAGGTATCTGAAAAGGTTTAGTTGATACAGTTACCACTTGAAATGTGGGTTTTTCTTTAGCATTTCTTGAAATGAATAGTGAAATATAAGATTTGCCATCTTACATGGTGTTATTTATGAATTAAATCTTAATAATTATACTTTTCCTGTCTTCAAAATTATGTAGCAATCATTTATCGCAAAAGCAAGGAATGGTTAAAAGATGGATCCTGCTTAGTGTCCATTCTCAGTTTAAACTTAAAACTCTGCTTTACTCCTAACATGAAAGGATGATTAGAATTACCTACTTTCTGCGACAGTGTGTTTCATGGTCCATTTTCTGTGGAAAAGATTGTGAGATTAAGAAGCAAACAACTTTAGTTATAAATGACAGGAGAGGATCATTTCTGTAATTAAATTATATTGTATTTCAAAAATCCAGTTTAAGGACCACCTGCTCTAAGGTGACATTTCTTTTCTGCTGATTTTCAAAATTGGAAGATAGGAGCTTCAGGATTCTGGTGTTTCCAAAATTATTTTTATCATTTAAAAAATATTAACATATATAATGATTACATTCCTATTTCTTGTTTTTATTTTGCTTAATAATTTATTTTAATGTAATGTAACAATAGCATCTAGAGTTTGAGCCTTGACTCTAGGAAGTCATTAGGAAATTCTCTTGGTGGTAAGGGACATAATAGGTTTTGTAATAGTCAGCTGGCCTGTGCAGTTTTTTTATGGTTTAGCTATAAAAGTGAGTTTTTCATGACTTTCAAGATAGAACTAGAGGCCCAGATTTATTATATTGCATTATATACTTAGCGGTAAATCTCTATATCGCTTCTGATTGAAATACTAAATTTGGTTCACATGAATTAAACCTCCAAGTAATATATTTTAAAACTTTATGAAAAAGAAATCAAGAAATAAACCATTGTCTGGTGCAAAACAAGTAAGTATTATTACTTTATACACTGTTATCTTTTCAGGCTCATGAGAGGCTAGAAGATTACAAACTAGAAGCTGTCAGTGACAATAATTTGGAATTAGTCAATGAAATTCTTGAAGACATCACTCCTCTAATAAATGTGGATGAAAATGTGGCAGAACTGGTTGGTATACTCAAAGAGCCACACTTCCAGGTAACTTTCCCTATCACTCCACTCCCAAGCTCCCTGTATGCCCAAAGTATTTCCCTTTAACATTTAAGTTCCAGTTTAAGGTGATGTTTTCTTCAAGTATCATTTAGGGCTATAATTGGTAAGTATGTAAGTTCCAACCTTGGTATCTTAATGTGCTGATATGCTGAGAATACATCAACAGATATATGTAACTATAATACTACAAAAATGTACACTGTCACAGAAATACATCACAGTGTATTTTCCTTTGTGCCATTAAAGAAAACAACCTTAATTCACCATCAGATCACTTGCCGCAGCCATTTTCCTAACTATGATAATGGATTTTTTTTCTTCCTCACTATGATTCTGTTTCTTAGTCAATACTTTTTAGTATTACTTCTCAAGATTGTTATGCAGTCAGTGACCACGGAATGTAAGACAGCTGTGAATGTACAGAAACTGTTATATAATATAATCTCCATAGGTACTAAGTATCATTTTAGCAATGGTATGTACCAGTGAAGAGTTCATCTGTTTTAGGAAGAAGAATGCATTTCAGAAGAGAAAAGGCAGGAAAGATTTCTTGTAAACTTATTATAATTAAGACAACGTGATATTGGGGAAGGTGTTAGAAAAATTAACTCATTTAAAAGAATAGAAACCACCCATAAGTACATTCAGCCAGATACGGCAACTTGATTTATGACTGGGACACTGCATTTTAGTGGAAAAAGAATGGTGCTGGAATAGAATAAAGTAAGTGTCACCTGCTTTCCCCTGTAAATCTTAGCACTGAAAATCAAATGGTAACAGCCTTTTGCTCTTTCTCAGCGAAAGACTTTATGTGACCCTTCAACAATGTCACTGCAAAATATGAAGGTTTTTTTTTTTTTAAGCAAGAAATAAACCTTTATTGCTTTTTTTTTTTATTGCAGTTTAGGTTTTGGGGTACATGTGAAGTACATGCAAGATTGTTGCATAGGTATGCACATGGCAGTGTGATTTGCTGCCTTCGTCCCCATCACCTATATCTGGCATTTCTCCCCATTTGTCTGTTTTGGCTTTTGTTACCAGTGCTTTTGGTGTTTTGGTCATGAAGTCCTTGCCTATGCCTGTGTCCTGAATGGTTTTGCCTAGATTTTCTTCTAGGGTTTTTATGGTGTTAGGTCTTATATTTAAGTCTTTAACCCATCCTGAGTTAATTTTAGTGTAAGGTGTCAGGAAGGGGTACATTTTCTGCTTTCTGCACATGGCTAGCCAGTTTTCCCAACATCATTTATTGAACAGGGAATCCTTTCCCCATTGCTTGTTTTTGTCAGGTTTGTCAAAGATCAGATGATTGTAGATGTGTCGCATTGCCTCCAAGGCCTCTGTTCTGTTCCTTTGGTCTATATCTCTGTTTTGGTACCAGTACCGTGCTGTTTTGATGAAGTCAGGTAGTGTGATGCCTCCAGCTTTGTTCTTTTTGCTTAGGATTGCCTTGGCTATGCAGGCTCTCTTTTGGTTCCATATGAAATTTAAGATTTTTTTTTCAGTTCTGTGAAGAAGGTCATTGGTAGCATGATGGGGATAGCGTTGAATCTGTAAATTACTTTGGGCAGTAAGGCCATTTTCACAATATTGATTCTTCCTAACCATGAGCATGGAATGTTTCTCCATCTGTTTGTGTCCTCTCTTATTTCATTGAGCAGTGGTTTGTAGTTCTCCTTGAAGAGGTCCTTTACATCCTTTGTTGTTTTCCTAGGTATTTTGTTCTCCTTATAGCAATTGTGAATGGCAGTTCGTTCTTGATTTGGGACTCTTTAAGTCTGTTATTGGTGTATAGGAATGCATGTGATTTTTGCACATTGATTTTGTATCCTGAGACTTTGCTGAAGTTGCTTATCAGTTTCAGGAGATTTGGGGCTGAGACAATGGGGTCTTCTAGATATACAATCATGTAGTCTGCAAATAGAGACAATTTGACTTCCTCCTTTCCTATTTGAATGCCCTTTATTTCTTTTTCTTGCCCGATTGCTCTGGCTAGAACTTCCAGTACTATATTGAATAGGAGTGGTGAGAGAGGGCATCCTTGTCTAGTGCCAGATTTCAAAGGGAATGCTTCCAGTTTTTGCCCATTCAGTATGATATTGGCTGTTGGTTTGTCGTAAATGGCTTTTATTATTTTGAGATACGTTCCATCAATACCTCTTGAGGGTTTTTAGCATAAAGGGCTGTTGAATTTTGTCAAAGGCCTTCTCTGCATCAATTGAGATAATCATGTGGTTTTTGTCTTTGGTTCTGTTTATGTGGTGAATTACATTTATAGACTTGCGTATGTTGAACCAGCCTTGCATCCCCGGGATGAAGCCTACTTGATCATGGTGGATAAGCTTTTTGATGTGCTGTTGCAATCAGTTTGCCAGTATTTTATTAAAGATTTTTGCGTCTATGCTCATCATGGTTATTGGCCTGAAGTTTTCTTTTCTTGCTGAGTCTCTGCAGGTTTTAGTATCAGGATGGTGTTGGTCTCATAAAATGATTTGGGAAGGATTCCGTCTTTTTGGATTGTTTGGAATCGTTTCAGAAGGAATGGTATAAGCTCCTCTTTGTATGTTTGGTAGAATTCAGCTGTGAACCCATCTGGACCTGGGCTTTTTTGGGTGGCAAGCTCTTAATTGCTGCCTCAACTTCAGACCTTCTTATTGGCCTATTCAGGGTTTCGACTTCCTGGTTTAGGCTTGGGAGGATGCAAATGTCCAGGAATTTATCCATTTCTTCCAGGTTTACTAGTTTATGTGCAAAGAGTTGTTTGTAATAATCTCTGATGATGCTTTGTATTTCTGTGGAACCTGTGGTGATACCCCCTTTATCTTTTTTTATTGCATCTATTTGATTCTTCTCTCTTCTTTTTTATTAATCTGTCTAGTGGTCTATTTTGTTGATCTTTTCAAAAAACCAGCTCCTGGATTTCTTGATATTTTGAAGGGTTTTTTGTGTCTCTGTCCCCCTCAGTTCTGCTCTGATCTTAGTTATTTCTTACCTTCTGCTAGGTTTTGAGATTTTTTGATCTTGCTCCTCTAGCTCTTTCAATTTTGAAGATAGGGTGTTGATTTTAGATCTTTCCTTGCTTCTCATATGGGCATTTATTGCTATATATTTTCCTTTAGACACTGCTTTAAATGTGTCCCAGAGATTCTGGTATGTTGTGTGTTGGTTCTTGTTGGTTTCGAAGAACATCTTTCTTTCTACCTTCATTTCATTGTTTATCCAGTCAACATTCAAGAGCCAGTTGTTCAGTTTCCATGAAGCTGTGCGGTTCTGAGTTAGTTTCTGAATTCTAAGTTCTAACTTGATTGCACTGTGGTCTGAGAGACTGTTATGATTTCCATTCTTTTGCATTTGCTGAGGAGTGATTTACTTCCAATTATGTGGTCAATATTAGAGTAGGTGTGATGTGGTGCTGAGAAGAATGTATATTCTGAGGATTTGGGGTGGAGAGTTCTGTAAATGTCTATTAGGTTTGCTTGTTCCAGGTCTGAGTTCAAGTCCTGGATATCCTTGTTAATTTTCTGTCTGGTTGATCTGTCTAATATTGACAATGGGGTGTTAAAGTCTCCCACTATTATTGTGTGGGAGTCTAAGTCTCTTTGTAAGTCATTAAGAAATTGCTTCATGTATCTGGGTGTTCCTGTATTGGGTGCGTATATATTTAGGACTGTTAGCTCTTCTTGTTGCATTGATCCTTTTACCATTATGTAATGTCCTTCTTTGTCTCTTTTGATCTTTGTTGCTTTAAAGTCTATTTTATCAGAGACAAGAATTGCAACTGCTGGGGTTTTTTTTGCTCTCCATTTGCTTGGTAAATCTTCCTCCATCCCTTTATTTTGAGCCTTTGTGTATCCTTGCATGTGAGATGGGTTTCCTGGATACAGCACACCAATGAGTTTTGACATTTTATCCAATTTGCCAGTTGTGTCTTTTGATTGGGGCATTTAGACCATTTACATTTAGGGTTAATGTTGTTATGTGTGAATTTGATCCTGCCATTTTGATGCTAGCTGGCTGTTTTGCCTGTTAGTTTATGCAGTTTCTTCATTGTGTTGATGCTCTTTAGCATTTGGTATGTTTTTGGAGTGGCTGGTACTGGTTGTTCCTTTCTATGTTTAGTGCCTCTTTCAGGAGCTCTTGTAAAGCAGGCCTGGTGGTGATGAAATCTCTGAGTACTTGCTTGTTCGTAAAGGATTTTATTTTTCCTTTACTTATGAAGATTAGTGTGGCTGGATATGATATTCTGGCTTGAAAGTTCTTTTCTTTAAGGATGTTGAATATTGGGTCCCACTCTCTTCTGGCTTGTAGGGTTTCTGCTGAGCAATCTGCTTTGAGTCTGATGGGCTTCCCTTTGTGGGTAACCAGACCTTTCTCTCTGGCTCCCTTTAGCATTTTCTCCTTCATTTCGACCCTGGTGAATCTGACGATTATGTGCCCTGGGGTTGGTCTTCTTGAGGAATATCTTTGTGGTGTTCTCTGTATTTCCTGGACTTGAATGTTGGCCTGCCTTGCTAGGTTGGGGACGTTTTCCTGGATAATATCCTGAAGAGTATTTTCCAGCTTGGATTCATTCTCTCCATCACATTCAGGTACACCTATCAAACGTAAATTAGGTCTTTTCACATAGTCCCACATTTCTTGGAGACTTTGTTCATTCCTTTTTACCCTTTTTTCTCTAATCTTGCCTTCCCGTTTTATTTCATTGAGTTGATCTTCGACCTCTGATATCCTTTCTTCTGCTTGGTCAGTTCGGCTGTTGAAACTTGTGTATGCTTTGCGAAGTTCTCGTGTTGTGTTTTTCAGCTCCATTAATTCACTTAAATACCTAAGTTGTTTATTCTTGTTAGCATTTCATCAAATCTTTTTTCAAGGTTCTTAGTTTCTTTGCATTGGGTTAGAACATGTTCTTTTAGGTCAGAAAATTTTCTTATTACCCACCTTCTGAAGCGTGATTCTGTCAATTCACTACAGTCATTCCCATCCAGCCT